AATTCAGAAATTCAGAAATTCAGAAATTCAGAAATTCAGAAATTCAGAAATTCAGAAATTCAGAAATTCAGAAATTCAGAAATTCAGAAATTCAGAAATTCAGAAATTCAGAAATTCAGAAATTCCAGGAAATTCAAAAAATCCGGAAATTCAGAAATTCAGAAATTCAGAAATTCAGAAATTCAAAAATTCACAAATACAGAAATTCAGAAATTCAGAAATTCAGAAATTCAGAAATTCAGAAATTCAGAAATTCAGAAATTCAGAAATTCAGAAATTCAAAAATTCACAAATACAGAAATTCAGAAATTCAGAAATTCAGAAATTCAGAAATTCAGAAATTCAGAAATTCAGAAATTCAGAAATTCAGAAATTCAGAAATTCAGAAATTCAGAAATTCAGAAATTCAGAAATTCACAAATACAGAAATTCAGAAATTCAGAAATTCAGAAATTCAGAAATTCAGAAATTCAGAAATTCAGAAATTCAGAAATTCAGAAATTCAGAAATTCAGAAATTCAGAAATTCAGAAATTCAGAAATTCAGAAATTCAGAAATTCAAAAATTCCTAAATTTTTCAGTAATTTCTTAACTCAAACATTTTTCTGTTTCAAATTTTAAAAAAAAAATTTTCGGCAAATTCAAATTCGTTGAGCACATTTTTGAAGCATATTCGAAATATTTTTTACAATTTCGGAAAAATCAGAACTTTCCAGAAAAAAAATTTGAAATTTTCAGAATGTAAAGGTTTAGCTAGAAATTCTATTGGGAATGCGCTGGGAAAAAAATGGGCGGGACTTAAAAAAAAATTTGAAGACTGTAAGTAAGAATCCAACGTCAGTGGAGTTTTCCCAAAAAATTAAAGCCCCATTTTTAAACAGCAAAATTTAATAAAATTCTGAAAAACCAGAAAAAAGTTCGATGGAGCACGTTTGCTATTAGGCTTTTTCATGTTTCTATCGATTTTCATACAATGTTTGAATAGGTTATCAAAATTTTCTGTTTCAAAGCTTCATATTTTCTGTAATAGTATTTTCTTATTATTACAGAAAATATGAAGTCTGCAAATGCGCTCTAATTGAAGTCTCCAAAATCTTCGAGAAACTAGAAGTCATTGTTTGATGTCAACAACACTAAAGAAATTTCAAAATTGTTTCTCAAAATAAACTTTTGAAACAGCAAAATATCAAAAAAAGAAAACAGTTCGGCGGAGCGCATTTGCTCAAATCGTTTTCGGATTTGAGACCTCGCAATTTCCGGGGATTTTCCTGGGAAAAGTGGGC